CAGCGCCAGGTGGAGCCTGGCGGGATCCGTGAGCGCGTGTGCCGCGGCCAAGCCCTCCGCTCGGACGTTGTCGCAGGCACCTGGGCGGCGGCCGAGCCTTTTCTGAGACGTGCCTCGCACCTACCGTGGGCCTTCGTGGTACAAGTGAGGGCAAATCGTGCGAGTTTCACCGAGTCTCAGATGCCTTTAACTTCACATTTGTCCCTGCTTTCCTTAGTTTTCCAAACTGTGTCTCCAGAGCATTGTCTCACCCACTGAGGTCCCTGTCAGCCCAGGTTTCATCGTCTTGCAGTTTTCCTTTTTATTTTTTAGGCTGTGGAAATCCAGTCAAGGGATCCAGGAGTGGAGGGTGCACAGCAGTTCTGTGCATAAGGGAATCACAGCATAGCCCTGGAATCTTGCATCTGCCAGAGTTGTGCTGTGCCTCCAGTCACCACTGAGGCCTTGCGAGAGACTCAACCCCCAAGGCTGTGTGCCAGGCCCTGGGGTGTACTTTCAGCGCCAGCCACCACCCCGTCCAGCTCATGCAAGTGGGTACGTGCCCACGCTGAGGCCTGTGTCTGAGCTGCGCCGAAGTCTCCCCATGCTGTGCTGCTGCTTCTCCGTGGCTAGGCGAGTTTAGGTAAGGCCAGAGCTCCCTGCAGCGCCTTAGACTTGGGTAAGCACAGCTCAGGACTTGCTGCTGGCAGTGGCTTGTTTGGCACAAGGAGGGTGAGCCCAAGGAGAGGACAGCGGAGTTTCCAGAAGCAGGGTGACGGCCCGGTCGCGGGGGGGGGGCACCTCGCATCCTGCTAACTCTCCGGGATGTCTTCTCGCCTGTGTCCTGTTGGCTGGTACTGTTGATGGCGGTGTAGAGGGGCCACCTCCTTCCTGCTCCCTCTGACGGTCTCATCTGTCTGGTTACTGTATGGAGGGCTGTGCCGCTGACTGCTTTGGTATTCGTTAAGGAAAAGAGGGCATCCTGAGCCAGACCTTCTGGTTAGGGGGTTTCTCATTAAATTGTTTTCGCTCTAATTATTTTCTTTATATGTAAATACCACCGGAATGATAAAAGCCTACCTTAGTATGCTTCTAAAGTAATATGTTTGATTTCTGACAGGGTTTAGATGCCTGAAACATCAACAGATTTTGAGTGGTTCTGAAGATTAAAGAGGTAAATATTTTCATAATAAGTAGTCTTGTGTATATTATATGTGTGTGTTTATATATGTATAAATATTTTCTTTATATTTATGTATTTTGTGGTACTCAGAATTGAACTCAGGGCCTTTGCATTGAATAATATCACCAGTCCTTTAAAGTCTTTTAAAAAATATTTTGAGCTGGGCGTGGTGGTGCATGTGTGCAATCCCAGCACTTGGGAGGCTGAGGCAGGAGGATTCCTGTGAGTTTGAGACCAGCCTGGGCTACACAGTGAGTTCCACGGCAGTCTGAACTACATAGTGGGACAGGGTCTTGCCAAGTCAAAGTTGCCCATGCTGGCCTTGAAGTCTCCATCCTTCTGCCTCAGCCTCACAGACTATTGAGGTTACAGGCGTTTATCACCATACCCAGCCTCTGTTAATATATATTTTTAAGTTTTATGAACTTGCTGTCAATTTACTGTTAGGTAAAAGTCCCACTAAAAGTGTTAATATGAATCAGATTTACAACAGATGGCAATAGTCTCAGCAGGATTGCCTGAAAGAAAAGCCTCAGTATTTACCTCTCCAGAGGGGAAAGATTTCCGCTTAGTCTCGCTACTCTCTGTTTATGGTCCCATGATCTTGGAACTTGAGTTCTGTCGAACATGGCAGTCTGTTTCTAAAAACCTGTTGTCAGTGAACACTGATTTTGGAAGTTGTGTGGCCCTGAATAGCCTAGTAAGCAGCAAACCTTACTGGGGAACATCATGTGTTTTATGGCTCTGTCATTCAGTAGAGAGAAAATTCAAAACACAAACAAAAATCCCTAAGCAAAGATACCTCCACAACGGATGGAGAAAGCATGATTATGGTCTGGGATGTATCAGAGAAATTTGACCAATAGATTTAACCCTGCCAGGGTGAGTTAGAAATGCAGTAAGACTCATGCTCACCACCATGCACTGGCTGGGTTTCAGGCAGAGGAGGTTAACAGCACAGTCTGTGAGGCAGGCTATTTTATTTCACTCCTGGAGTTTCTGAGTCCTAGTTATGAACGCACAATCACTGTACCTGCTGGAGCAGAACCTTCCCAAAGGCAGTGAATTCCGTTCACACCGAACTTCCTGGCCACGCCCAAGGCACTTAGAATACCTAGAACATGATGCCTGCCTGCCTGCCTGCCTTCTGGCCAGGTGTCAGACTCTCGATCTTTTCTAGGCAAAAAGTGGGTGGCAGGTGGAAAAGACTGTGCTCACATCCAGTGTTTCCTGGTGGAGGTAGATGTGAATACCCCTTTGCAAGTTTCTCAGAGCCATTCCAGTGTCTGCAGAGGGGTCTGTAGCTCCTCTGAGCAACCAACTCAAAAAATGCCAAAGGACGCTTTCCTCTCTCACACTTAGACACCTAACTCCTAACACAGTGCCTGGCCCACAGCAGATACTCATTGAACAGGTGATACGTAAAGAAACCTTGCCCAGTGATGTAGCGAAGCACAATGTAAGTATGTGTAGCTCTTGCTACTTTTCTTGGACTTTGAAAGGATATTTCTTATCGAAGATGTGTCCAATTTGATCTTAGGTTGAGAGCTTGCTATGTTAATGCTGCTTGTCTTTGGGGTCTTACTTCATGAAGTCCCCCTGAGTGGCCAAGATGAGGCTTTCCCTGAGGCTGACCCCTTACCAGCAGAGCCCCTGTATGACTATGCCAGCGTCCGCCTGCCCCAGGGACACATTCCCTTCTTCTTGCACAACAACAGGCACATTGCCACCATCTGCAAGAAGGACTCACACTGCCCGTACAAGGTAGGTACTATTTCTTCTCTTCTCATTTGTTTTTAAGACACAATTTAAGATATAATACCATCTCTATACTCTGTAAATAAAGCAAATGTGATCTGAGGTAGAAAAAAAAATCTTGTTCAAAGTAGAGAATTTCACACCTCTTCTTTTCTCACCTGCATGGAAGAAGTCTCTTAGCACTTAATTTCCGTAATAACACCTCAGCCTCTGTCTCTAAATAATTAAGACTGTGGGATTGGAAAGGCCTCAAATAGGAGCACATTAGGACGCCTCAGGCAGCCTTGAAGATCAAAGCCGGGCATTGTGAGACCCTTCCTGTCCCATGGCGCCGGCACAGGAAGCATATGGAAGAGCAGATCCTGGCCTTAGACGGCACTGCTCCTGGGCCAGCACAGTTGCTGTAGAGTAAACCTTGTGGGGTCCCTGCTGGTTTTGATTGCTGAGTGGAGTTGCTGATCTGCTCAGTTTAGCAGTGATTCTTTTGGTTAACAGAAATTTTAATTCATCTGTCTTTTTAGGGACTGATTTTAAAATCAGTTTGCTGTCTGAGAAAGGTAGGTTCCTGAACTACCTCAGGAAATTCTAATTCAGGCCAAGAATGGTGGCACATATGTGTGACCCTGCATTCTGGGAGGATGATCTCAGCAGGAGGAGGAGTATTTCTATCCAAGCTTGGGCATTTAGTGAGTCACTGTCTCAAAATAAAAAGGGAAAAGTACGGCCGGGGATGTAGCTCAGTGGTACTGCACCTGCCTTGCAGGCACGAGGTCTGGAGTTCGATCCCCCACACCAAAAAAAAAAAAAAAAAAAAAAAAAAAAAAAAAGGGAAAAGTAGAGTCTGGGATATAGCTCAGTATGAAGGCCCCAGGTTCAGTGTTCAATTCCCCAGTATTATCCTAAACAAACAAATACATATACTTGAACAAACATAATATATATTATATATTATATACAAAATTCAAGTGGTCTTTGGTAGGTTGAAGAGTAGATTTTTGGTGAGGGGACGGACACAGGAACAGAGAATAAAGACAAAGAGGCTTGAGACTGCTAGTCTGAGGCTTTCCTTTGCTTACTTTTATTATGTTAATATGTATATGAGCATTATGAAATGTAAATGTGAATGTACTAGGACTTTTTTTTTTAACGGAAAAATGTAACACTCCTTTCTAAACTTCAGAAGAAGGGAGACCATTCTAAATGTATATGTTTTATGTTTTAGAAACACTTAGAAAATTTAAAGTACTGCTGGGGTTATGAGAAGTCCTGTGAACCAGAGTTCAGGTTTGGAAACCCCTTCTGCAGTTATGTGGACATAGGATGGTAAGTTTTCCTAGAGCATGCATTCTTCCCTTTGAAGCCTTTTACTTTATCTACAATACGTGTTGATGCCTTAAGTTCCAGCTAGATTTTTTTTTTTTCCCCGCTATGTAGTTCAGGCTGGCCTTGAACTTACAGCATAGCTCTGACTGGCCTCGAACTTGGGGATAGCCTCCTGTTTTGGCCTCCCTGGGGTTACAGGTGTGTGCCACAACACCCAGTGAGCTAGATTCTTTGGATGTTAGATAGTAATTCCTTTGCTGGAAAAGGAGATTCCTTTCCTAGATGTTAGATAGTAATCACTTATCCAGCCTTAAATTCAACGGGACTGTCTTGAATTTTTTTTTTTTTTTTTTGTGGTACTGGGGATCAAACTCGGTACCTTGCACTTGCAGGGCAGGCGGCGGAACCACTGAGCTAAATCCCGCTCTCCAATTTGACTGTCTTGAAACTGCGAAGCTGGGTCCTGACACAGCAAAGAACCAGCAACTCAATTCCTTGGTCGTTGGCTCTTTGTGCCCTTGATGAAAGAAGTCAGTAAAGACCCATAGGCCATGCAGAACTACAGGTAGAATTTATTGTAAAGTAGATCTATAGAGAGTTACGGCTTCCAGTGAGAAGGTGGCATCTGCCTTGAGTGGAGTTTGGATTTCACTTTATGATCACAAAAGTGGCTCCTGTAGTTCAGAGAGCTAAGATAATTATGATGCTTTTTGTCATTTTTACCTGGAAGTTTTTTTGGAATTGCAGAATGGCTTTCTGTCCCTTTAGATGGTCAACATTTCCTCAAGGACTTTAATCATATATGGAACTTAAACAAGAAAATTTGAGAAAGATAAGTTCTTAATTTAACCTGGGTCCCAGCCCGAGGCAGGACAGTCTTTAAAGAACATCCCTTTCCCGCTATTGCTGGGTTGTAGGGTATGGCAACCAGGAATGCTGTATGGTTCTGGAATTAGACGGCTGGGTGCTCAGGTATCAGAAGGAATGTGCACAATGTGTAACCTGAAAAATGTTACTGTGCTCTGTGGGATCACTTTGGGTTTGAGGCCTAACAGATGATGATAAATGTATTATACACTGAAGTCTAAACGACCTGCCTGACAAGCTCACACTTGGGTAGGAATATCTCCCATGGGCCAAGGATTTAGCTCAGCAGTTCAGTGGCCTGCCTTGCAAGCGCAAGGACCCGAGTTCAATCCCCGGTACCAAAAAAAAAAAGAAAAGGAATATCTGTCATTGCCTCTGCCAAAGTATGAACTATGGAAAACATTCCTCCTAGTGCATGCTAAGAAGACAAGTGGATAGTTTTCTCTAGAGTCTACAGAGAAGAAAGAAGTGTGGCTACCACTTCTAACTCACACAACGTTTAGTGGGGTAAAGAAAACGTGACAAGAGTCCATTGACTTCCATTCCCGAGAACCCAAACTTCATACATTTTTGTTATGACTTCTGGGAACAATTTAATTTGGAACTTCATGTATGGTGAGGGAGTTTTGGGAAAACTATGATAGTATATATTTTTAAAAATATAGGTAGTGGGCCAGGGATTTAGCTCAGTGGTTCCGCTGCCTGCCTCCCAAGCTCAAGGACCCAAGTTCGATCCCTGGTACAAAAAACCAGAAAAACAAAACAAAAAA